CGTTCAACACCGTCAAGCTATCGTTTTTGATCCTAAAGGTGTGCCGTTGACCCTAACCTTTAGATATATATATATATATTTCATGTTGATATATTTTTATGCATTTTGTTTTCATAATCTAAATCTATTGGTTAGTATATATAATAAAAAAAAAGAGACAAAATTATGTTTAAGGAAAAAAAAGGTCACTGTTGCTATGTTTAAGAAAAAAAAGTTTCTGTAGATGTTTTTTTTCTTTGTTTTTGTAGTGTCCGTACTATTGTATAAATAAATAACAAGGAAAAGAAATATATGTTCGAATAATTCAGTAAATGAAAAAGGAAAAAAATGATGGTTGTTTATATTTAAAATAGATGAATTGTTTTTTTTTTTTTTTTGGCTTAGCCGAATGATAAAAAAACATAAAGGTTTTATATAAAAATCATAATTGTTTATTTGTTGGTCGAGAATACAGTGATGATAACATAAGAACAATAAATACAAATAACAAAATAAAGTAGATAAGCTTGTTAATCATTTGTACTGACCAGGCCTTGATAATTTAAATATGCTAAGGAGTTTTTTTTATTTTCTTTCGTCACTGACATGAATGGCCAAATTCTAACTAGAAAGGGAATAAAAACAAAAAATCAAGTTTGAGTTAGGGACAATAATAAAATATCTGATGATAAAATGGGAAATAAATGTAATTTTCTATGATGTCACGTAGGTTTGATATATATTGGACTAAGAAAGTTTAATGTGTAAATTTGTTCCTCTTGACAAAAAAAAACACGATGTTTTATTTGTCTTGCACCAAATGCACGTTTTGTATACAAAGGGGACATCAACGGGTATCTAATTATAAAATAATTTATGTTTGAAGACATCAAATGTGGTTTATATAAATGACCGTACTAGGGTTAACCAAACATTTAGTGGACGAAGTAAAAGTTTCAAGATTTATATATCGACGTACTCTGACCAAGTACTGTCACGTTTTTATCAAGTGGGTCAAACCACTTTCAAGGCCGGACCGTGTCCATGTGGATGAGCCTATAAATAATCATACCACAGCGTGCGCACGAGAACCCGACGATGACCCCGTGGGTCTAGGGTTCACTTCTGATTACTGGACCCGAGGTCACGGGGAGGTATCCGAAGTAAAACTATGTATCGACTAGTGCGGTGTTCCAGCCTAGTCACGGCTTAGTCTCTAATCTGTGGTTAACCTAGTAGTCAAAAGTTTTCTAAATGTCCCCAAGTAACTATTCAAAGTGAAATTATTTCCTCGATAATTTTTATTATGCGAAAAGTTTTTTTTTCCTTTCTGAATTAAATTGAAAAACTTAAAAGGCTCAAAATATATTTACATGTTATATATGTCTACTGGTTATTTGCCACTCAGCTTATGCTGAGCGTGTAGTGTTTAACTGCACGCAGGTACTAGCAAAGAAAACAACTGCTGAGGAGGAAAGCTTGGACGTGGAGGCCGTGCCGAAAGAGTTCTTATTTAATATTTAATAATGAATAAAACGAAGAACTTAATTTACATCGTTTTTTTTGGGCTTGAACCCAAGGTTGTATTAAGTGTGGATGTTTTTACTTTAAGCTTACGCGAAAAAATGTTTTTTTTTCTCTTAAGTTATCAAAAAGAGAATAAATTTCAGATAAATAATATTTTACAAAGTAACCCGGTTTTACTAGCACTCTGGTCTGGATGACTCGGGACATCCAGGGTGGGGTGTTACAATACACATCCCATGCCTTGTGTTAAATCATGACATTTAGGACAGAAGGATAATAGTTATAGAACGTCTTGTGTCGTAGAAGGTATTGATGAGATGAACGTCTTTTTCATAATCTGGGGATAATAATGTGTTGCTAGATACCGCTTATTATCTATTGTATTAATTTATATTAATATCATTGCCAGTGTTATGGATACCTAAAGGGTCACACACTTAGGACTTGTAAGGGAGTAGTATACTACAATAGTGGGAGTAATATTAAATATATAGTTGTCTTGTTGTGTTGGTTGGGGACATTACATTAATCCTAATTTGTTTTGTCCCTAAGCTATTTCCTAGAAATTCATTTAAGTTGTTTATTATAAAATGAAAAACAATCCCTCCCCTTTTAGCTTAATATAGTTTCGGCCATCACAAGGAAGAGAGAAGAAAAATCCTATTTTGTGTTCAAAGTTATTTTTCTAAAGTGTTAGAAATATACACAAAATATTATAAAGAAATATTTATAAGATAAATATTTTACTATATATTTATTACTCCCAAAGTAGTATTATTATAGTTTTTACTATCCTAAATTAAACTTGCTAGCACAAGTTTAATCTAGGACTCCGGAGCAAGTTCGTGTGGATATGTTGGAGGCTTCATACGTTTGGCGCTACGTTCATCTCCTCAAAACCATCCCCGACCGTTCCTTCGTTCTCCGTTTTCACCGTTAAGGTAAATTTCTTACTATAGCTAGTAATTTACGTAAGTTGTTCTTGGGTGGAAATCGAGTTTTGGACTATAAATTTTTGTTTTCGGCTACGTTATCCAAGCATCGTTTCCCAACAGTGGTATCAGAGCCGGCTTACGAAGTTACTAGTTTAGTAGTTTTTACCGTTATTGTTTTTGTAGATTAGTCAATAAATTTTGGAGACAAGAATTTATCCCATTAAAAATTTAATTAGGTGGCCATATTTAGATACTGGACCTAATATAATTTTGTTCAGTAATTTTCGGAATTACTGTTTGGGGTATTTTTATATTATTATTATTAAGTAGTTTATGTGTAGAATACTTGTTATTTGTGCCATAAATACTTAATATTTATGAAAATTAGATTTTATATTTTCTGGGAAGTATTTGACATGTCAATATAACTCAGAAATTTTAAAATCGATTTTTGGAATTAATTTCCTATTTTTCTATTTTTAAATTCGTTTATTGAATAGAAAATAGGAAAACTTATTTTTGACGATCAAAAATTAATTTTAATTCATAATAAGTTGCGACCAGAGATTTTAAGCTTGTATAAAAA